AATCTCAGCTCACTGCAACCTCCGTCTCCCAGGTTCAAGCAATTCTTGTGCCTCAGCCTCCCGAGTAGCTGGAATTACAGGCGTGTGCCACCATGGCCAGCTAATTTTTGTATTTTTAGTAGAGACAGGGTTTTGCTATGTTGGCCAGGCTGTTCTTAAACTCCTGACCTCAAGTAATCTGCCTGCCTCAGCCTCCCAAAGTGCTGGGATTACAGTGTGAGCCACCGCACCCGGTCAACATACTTTTCTAAACAAATTCAGTCATGTCCAACGAGTACTTTCAAAACATTCCAATTGTGCAACAAAACGCTCTAACAACATAGGAGGGGACAAGCAACTGTATGCGGTGTGCGATTCCTGGTCCTGCATGGCCTGACCCTTTCAGGAATCCTTACACGGCATTGCCAGCCAAGCTAACTGCCCTGCCCCCAGTACAAATGTGCTCTTTCTGTACATGCCTGGGATGACCTCCAATCCTAGAATAATAGAATGTGATCTGCTTCCTCCTCACTGCGTCCCTCCAACCTCTAGAGACAGCCCCAAACCCATGTCTCCCAGGAAATATGCTAGACCACTTCCAAACACAAACCAGTGTCTCAGCATTTATCAAGCGCTTATGCACCCGAGATAAAGCGTCTCTAAGTAATTTGAACATATATCAAGGTACCAAATGCTTAAGTTTGGATAACCTCATAGGTAAATAATTACTAGAAAAAATAAAAGTATACTTTTATCATCAACTTTATTACTATATAGTGTTTTATGAGCAGGAATCTTACTTAAGTGGCCTCTGTTGGAAGAAGGAATCAGAGGAAAACAGAATTTAAGCCCTCTATGGGAATACAGGCTCATTAACTGGGTGTGCGACCCCAGTTTATAGGGATCAAATGGTACCCACAGAAATGGTGGTTCTGAGGACTGATGGAGATTTTGCGTGAAGAGATTTGACATGTGCCTGACATAGAGTAGGATTTCAATAAAGTATTAGCTAGTGGTAATAGCTATTATTATTCTAAATATTTATATCTCAAGAAGATAGGCAAAAGACTTTTTTTGTTGTTTGTTTGTTTTTTTGAGATGGAGTCTCACTCTGTTGCCCAGGCTGGAGTGCAGTGACTCGATCTTGGCTCACTGCAACCTAGGCCTCCCGGGTTCAAGTGATTCTCCTGCTTCAGCCTCCCTAGTAGCTGGGACTACAGGCACGTACCACCACGCCCAGCTAATTTTTCATATTTTTAGTAGAGATGGGGTTTCACTGTGTTAGCCAGGATGGTCTCCATCTCCTGATCTCATGATCCGCCCTCCTCGGCCTCCCAAAGTGCTGGGATTACAGGCGTGAGCCACGGCGTCCGGCTGGCAAAAGGCTTTTATAAGCTGATATGGCTTTAGTTTTCACTGTAGAACTATAAACCAAATGCTAGCGAATTTGCACATGTTGTTTCAATTGCTCTTATAGATGATGTATTTTGTTAGTTTTTCTCCTGGTTAATAGAATTTTGTTTTAAATAAAAATTAAGCCACATTTAGAATAAATTTGCTTAAAAGAAATCTATCACTACATTTATCTTCTAGTGAAGCCTAACTGAGAAAGCCAAAAATTAGCAACTCAAGGAAATAGCAGGCTCAAGGAAAAATTCCACCTTCAACTGAGTTAATAGAATAATTTGGAATTACAGTGCTCTATTGAAAGCAACATTTTATGCTAACATTATTTTTGGTTATTTTTCTGGTAATAAAAGTAGTATATTTCTATTGTAAAAACTTTTAGAAGATACACAGTAAAGATTTAAAAGTATTGGTGAACCCACAGTTAAGGGTCAATCTTTCTTAAACTACTGGTGAACTAATGACTATCTTTTTTTTCTAAACGAGTGCTGTCTAACAGAACTTTCCATGATGATGAAAATGTCTTCCATCTGTGCTGTCATACATGAGAACAACTAGCCATGAGTGGTTATAAAGTATCTGAAATATAGCTAGAACAAATAAGAAACTACAGTTTTAATTGTGTTTAATGTTAATTAATTACAATTCTTTTTTTTTTTTAACATTTTTTCCAGATTTATTGAGGTATAACTGACAAATCAAAATTGTATACATTTAAATAACATAATTTGATATATTTATAAATTGTGAAATGATTACTACAGTAGACTTTAACATCACCTCACATAGTTGCTGTGTGTGCATGTGTGTGTATGAGAGAGAGACAGAATACTTAAGATCTACTCTCAGCAAATTTCAAGTAAGCAATACAGTATAATTAACTACGATAATCATAGTATACATTAGATGTACAGACCTTCCTCACCTTATAACTGAAAGTTTGGACCCTTTCATCAGTATCTCCCCATTTTCCTCACCAGCCACTGCTCTACTGTCTGCTTTTATGAGTTGAACTTTTGTAGATTTTGCATATGCATGAAATCATGTGGTAATTGTCTTTCTATGTCTCACTTCCTTCACTTAGCATGATGTCCTTCCGTTCATCCATGTTATTGCAAATGTCAGCATTTCCTTCTTTTCCAAGACTGAATAATACTCCACTCTCTATACAGACATATTTTTATCCATTCATCTGTCAACAACTATAATTTTAATTTAAATTATCACATGTTGCTAATGCCTGCCATATTGGACAGTACAGCTCTTGATGGATATTTTTATGATATTGGGAACTTAACATTGCATTGGGAGCATTTTTCTATATTATTAAATATCCTGGGAAAACATAATTCAAATGGCTCTTTATTTTATTAAATGAAGGTATTATGATTAATTTGAGTATCACTGATGATGAGGCAATTAGATTTTTTCATTTTAACTCTTGTAAATAAAGCTATAGTAAACCACTTTGTAAAGAAATATTTGTCTAGCCTCAAGACTATTTCTTTAGGATAGATCTAGAGAGAGAAATTATTAGGTGAAAGGATAAAAAGCTCTTTAAGGCTCTGAACGCATGCTGCTATGTTGGTTTCCTGAGACGCTGAATCCATTATACTCCCACCAGCAAGTATCCAGAGAACTTGCCTCTCTGTGCCCTTGTCAACATCGAGCATTACCCAATTCTCTTTAAAAAAAAAAAAATTACTTTGTGTAACTGACAAGCAGAAATGAGATCAACTGGTTCGAGTATTTTTGTCCTTGGTTGGTGGTTGTGGTGGTCATGGAGATGGGCCTCCCAGATGCCCTGCTAAGGGAAGACATGCCGCCCCTGCTGCAGTTGTGTGATGAGCAGACAGTACCTGCCACCTGCTTCAGGATCAGCCTCAGGTGCAGGTTGTTCCCTTCCGGGGTGGCCCACACCCAGTGGGCTCACTTGAAATTTAAAGTAAATAACATAATTTGATATATTCATAAATTGTGAAATGATCACTACAGTCGAGTTTAACATCACCTCCCATAGTTACTGTGCGTGCGTGTGTGTGTATGAGAGAGAGAGAGAGAGCACTTAAGATTTACTCTCAGCAAATTTCAAGTGAGCAGAGGCAGAGGCATGCGAACCTGGCAGATGGGCAGTGCTCACTCGGGAGCTCATGACTGGGCTGCCCGAGGAATTGCTGGGTCTGCATCACATATGGACATCTGTCTGCCCATCCTGCTTCCCCCCCATCCCATTCCTTTCATAGGTGTGCATTGCTGAAAATTTCTGGCATCTCAAACCCATCTCAGCATCAGCTCCTGGAGGACTCAACTTGCAGAAGAAGTAATGTTGAACTATGTTTTACTTATTTGCCTTTTTCTGTCATGTTTGTGTTGAGGATCTTGAGGCCGCTTCTAAGCAAGCAGGAAAGAGTGTGGATATCAACTAATACATTTCAATTCAAAGATTTGTTATGTATGAAGCAATAGAAAAAATAATAGATGGCGGGGTGTGGTGGCTCATGCCTGTAATCCCAGCACTTTGGGAGGCCAAAGCCAGAGGATTGCTTGAGCCCAGGGGTTTGAGATTAGCCTGGGCATCATGGTGAAACCTTGTCTCTACAAAAATAAAAATAAAAAAGGGTCAGGCACGGTGGTGCACACCTGTATTCCCAGCTACTTTGAAGGCTGAGGTGGAAGGATTGCTTGAGGCCAGGAGGTTGAGGCTGCAGTGAGCATAACAGCTTGGGTTATACCACTGCACTCCAACTCGGGTGACAGAATGAGATTCTGTCTCAAAAAGAAAACAGAAAAGGGAAAGTAACAAAGACAAAAACTCACGTATTTGATTTAAAACTTAAAACTTTCTGCACACGAAAAACACTCTGGATAAAAATTTTTTAAGACACAAACTGAAAAATGACAATAAACAAAAGTTTAACGTTTACCTGTAAAGACACCTTACATGTCAAACTAACTCAAATACAAAAAATACTGTACTATCCTGTCTTATGTGTCTTTTTTTTTTTTTCTTAAGACAGAGTCTCACTCTGTTCCCCAGGCTGGAGTGCAGTGATGTGAACACAGCTCATTTCAGTTTTGACCTCCTGGGTTCAAGTGATTCTGCCACCTCAGACTCCCGAGTAGCTGGGACCACAGGTGTGTCCCATCACACAAGGCTAATTTTTTTTTTTTATGTTTTGTAGAGATGGGTTCTTGCTATGTTGCCCAGACTGGACTCAAACTCTTGGCCTCAAGGGATCCTCCTACCTCAGCCTTCCAAAATGCTGGGATTGCAGGTCTGAGTCACCACGCCTGGCTTGCGCCTATTTCTTTAGGACATAAAGAGCATTTTCACATGGCATCTTCTCTAAACACATTTTCAAAAACCCTTCAGGACTGGGCTCTTCCTCTGAAACGTCAGGTAGTGCAAGATGAAGATGATCTTAAAACAAAAACAAAGTTCTTTTCATTATGAAGCAGTTTAACAATAATGAGATTGTGGCTTTGCAGGGAAAATTATAGTTCTTCCAACCTTCCCAATCCAAAAAGACTGAGAAAAGTGAAGTAAACTTCAGTTGGGGTCCCTCTCCAACAACAAAGTCTCACCAAACCCTGATGTCTTCTCTCTCTTACAGCCTTGATCACTGATGACCTCACAGATGCGATTATCTGCGCCAGGAAAATTGTTAAAGAGACACAGGGAATGAACTATTGGTAAGGGTCTTTCCTTGGGAGACTTTGGCCATCATGGGCAAAACCTAGTGTGTGTACTCATCACAGCTGTGGTAGAACTGACAAAGTCACGTCTGCAGAGTGGTGCAACCAATGGAACGAGATCTTGTTTATATTCTCCTCCATCGATGTGCGGGTGTGCAGTGAACATAGTAGTACATAGAAGGGGAGAAGAGAGATGGTGTGTCTGGAATTGGTGGGTTCTTGGTCTCACTGACTTCGAGAATGAAGCTGCGGACCCTCGTGTTGAGTCTTACAGTTCTTAAAAGATGGTGTGTCCCAAGTTTGTTTCTTCTGATGTTCGGATGTGTTCGGAGTTTCTTCCTTCTGGTTGGTTTGTGGTCTCACTGGCTTCAGGAGTGAAGCTGCAGACCTTTGCGATGAGTGTCACAGCTCTTAAGACAGCGCATCCGGAGTTGTTCGTTCTTCCCGTCCAGAGTGGTTTGTTTCTCCCGGTGGGTTCGTGGTCTGGCTGGCCTCAGGAGTAAAGCTGCAGATCTTCGCAGTGAGTGTTACAGCTCACAATGGCAGCGCAGACCCAAAGAGTGAGCAGCATCAACATTTACTTCAAAGAGCCAAGGAACAAGGCTACTACAACTGGAAAGGCACCCGAGAGGGCTGCTACTGCTGGCTCTGGCAGCCTGCTTTTATTCCCTTATCTGACCCCACCCACCCACATCCTGCTGATTGGCCTATTTTACAAAGGGCTGATTGGTTCATTGGTTCATTTTACAGAGAGCTGATTGATCCATTTTACAGAGCGCTGATTGGTCTGTTTTACAGAGGGCTGATTGGTCCGTTTTGACAGGGTGCTGATTGGTGTGTTTACAAACCTTGAACTAGACACAGAGTGCTGATTGGTGCATTTACAACGCTTCAGCTAGACACAAAAGTTCTCCAAGTCCCCATAGAATTAGCTAGACGAAGAGCACTGATTGGTGCCTTTACAAACCTTGAGCTAGACACAGGGTGCTGATTGGTGTGTTTATAAACCTTGAGCTAGACACAGAGTGCTGATTGGTGCATTTACAAACCTTGAGCTAGACATAAAAGTTCTCCAAGTCCCCACCAGATTAGCTAGACACAGAGTGCTGATTGGTGCATTTACAATCCTCCAGCTAGACATAAAAGTTCTCCAAATCCCCACCTGACTCAGGAACCCAGCTGGCTTTGCCTGGTGGGTCCCATGCGGGGCCACGAGTGGAGCTGCCCACCAGCCTCGTAAAAGGTGCTTGCACTCCTCAGCCCTTGTGCAGTCGAAGGGGAGTGTTGAGGAGCAGGGGGCGGTGCCTGTCCGGGAGGCTCAGGCTGCACGGGAGCCCACTGTAGGGGCGGGTTGGGGGGCCAGGCATGGCGGGCTGCAAGTCCTGAGCCCTGCCTCACAGGGAGGCGGCTGAGGACCCGCAAGAATTTGAGCATGGCGTGGGTGGGCAGGCAGTGCTGGGGGACACAGCGCCCCTTCTACAGCTGTGCTAAGCCTCTCATTGCCCGGTGCAGCAGCGCTGGCCAGCCGCTCCAAGTGTGGGGCCCCCCCGGCTGAGTGCGGGGCTAGCCAACCCCGTGCCCACCAGAAAATTGCGCTGGCCCACAAGCCCAGGCGCAGCCTGGGTTCCCGCCCGCACCTCTCCATCCACACATCCCTGCAAGCAGAGGGAGCCAGCTCTGGCCTCGGCCAGCCCAGAGAGGGGCTCCCACACTGCAGCGGGTGGCGTTTAGGGCTCCTCAAGTATGGCCAGAGCGGATGCTGAGGTTGAGGAGGAGCGAGGGCTGCTAGCGATTGTCACCTCTCAATGGGATTGGGTTAAGACAATTTGCAATTGTTTTTCTTATTTATGTATTCCAAGCAATGGAGAAAGGTATTTTTCTAAAGTGACTTGGAAAGGGTCAATTGAGTCAATTCGAGAGAGGAAAAAAAAACACTTGAGTTTGCTCTAGATTTGGATAAGATTTTGAGGGTTACAGCAACATTTTGAAGGGGAAGAAAATGAGCAGCAGTGAGAGGAAAGTGAGTAGGTCTGTGTCAGCAGAAAGTGTCCCCAGGATTGCGCCTGGGTCCTTGTATTACCTGCTGCTGTGTTCTGGTGAACATTGCCAGCCGGCCACCCACTCAGAGAACCCGAATTTTCAAAGATGTGGGTATGTAATGAAATGACCCGTCCTTACAAAAGTCGATTGCTTGTTGCTGAAGCTAACAATAGCTAGGAGAAAACCAGGAGAGAAAAGTCTGAACAAGGCAAAATGACAGCGTTTTGCCTTGGATCTGAGAAGCAAATGAAATCCAACCCAGGGTTCTGCTGGCGATTTTGGTTAATTTCTGTAGGCTTTGAACCTAAGACGATTTGGATTGTCATGCTTCTTTCTGCTGCTCTTGCTTCCCTGTTGTCCTCAGGCAAGGCTGGAAGAAACACTGTGAGGGGAGAGACCTGTCCGACTGGAAAAAAGGCTGTGAGGTTTCCTAAACTGGAACTGGACCCAGGATGCTTTGCAGCAGCGCCCTAGGATTTGCAGTGAATGTCCAAATGCCTTTGTCATCTTGTCCTGTTTGCTCCCAGTATTCCTTTTCAAACTTGGAAAGGGCAAACTAAGCTATATTTTTAAGAAAATAAATATTTTCATTTAAATGTTCCCATTCTGACTTGATTCCCTTTTCTTCTTTCTCTCTCTCTTCTTTCTCTCTCTCTTTTCCTTCCTTCCTGCCTTCCTTCCTTCCTTCCTTCCTTCCTTCCCTCCCTCCCTCCCTCCTTCCTTCCTTCCTTTTTTCAGAATCTTGTGCTCTGTCCCCCAGGCTGGAGGGCAGTGCTGCGATCTCAGACCACTGCAACCTCCACCTCCCAGGTTCAAGTGATTCTTGTGCCTCAGCCTCCCGAGTAGCTGGCATTGCAGGCATGTGCCACCACACCCAGCTAATTTTTAGTATTTTTTAGTGGAGACAGGGTTTTGCCATGTTGCCCAGCCGGGTCTCCAACTCCTGAGCTCAATGTGATCTGCCTACCTTGACCTCCCAAAGTCCTGGGATTACAGGTGTGAGCCACCACACCCCGCCCTGACTCAGTTTCAATAATGTCATAATGGCATCATGTTAAGACTTTTAAAATTGCCTCCAAAATGCTCTAGCCCTGGGGGAAACAAACTTCCCTTCTTCATTGTAGGGAGTCCTGGTTCCTGTGGTCATTCGAAACAAGACTCATTCGAAAACAACACTCCCTCATCTTCAGGGCCATCCTCAGAAACAGGACACATGCAGAAGGGTGAGGTTAAGAGCTAGGAGCACCTGAGGGGAGGAGCCCCCTTAAGAGTACCACAGAAGGACCATCTATGCATGCATACTGACAAGTCTAGACACCATTTGTCTACCTACACTCACTCAAGGGATGCGGAGAGACAAGGCAACTGAGATTCATGGTTTGATGACTACAATTCTCATAAAGGTTTTTAGTTGTATTTTCTGTATTTTGTATTCTGCATTTTCCAAGTTTTCCATGACATATCTTGCCATTAAAGAAAACCATCCTCTTTTTTCCAGAAAAAATAAATAAATAAGACTCCCAGTGAGGCACAGTGGTTCACGCTTTTAATCCCAACAATTTGGGAGGCCAAGGTGGGAGGATTGCTTGAGGCCAGAAGTTCAAGACAAGCCTGGACAACAATAGCAAGATTCCGTCTCTACAACAATTTTTTTAACCCCTGCATGCATTAGGTATTTGTCCTAATGCTCTCCCTCCCCTTTCCCCCAAGCCCCCCGACAGGTCCCTATGTGTGATGTTCTGCTCCCAGTGTCCATGTGTTCTCATTGTTCAACTGCCACTTATGAGTGAGAACATGAGGTGTTTGGTTTTCTGTTATTGTGTTAGTTTGCTGAGGATGATGGTTTCCAGCTTCATCCATGTCCTTGCAAAGAACATGAACGCATTTTTTATGGCTGCAACAATTTATTTTTAAATTGTAGCTTTTACCCCAAGTCCTGCTGGAAAGTCTAATAGGACAAAATAGATAAAATTGCAGCTCTTATCCCCAACATCCAGAGAGTTCCCCATGTTATTCCAACTTCTACTTATATCAAGCTTTTCAATCCTGGCCAAGGATGGCTTCAAATGTAGCCCAACACAAAGTAGTAGACTTTCTTAAAACATTATGAGATTTGTTTGTGATTTTTTTTTTTTTAAGCACATCAGGTATTGTTAGTGTTCATGTATTTTATGTGTGGCCTAAAACAATTCTTCTTCTTTCAGTGTGGCCCAGGGAAGTCAAAAGATTGGATACCCCGATTGGAAAACTGATTCCAAAAATAAGTGCTTCAAAATTCGAGATGAAAGAGCATTCGGGGCCCTACCATTAGACTCATCTATCTTTTTGCAAAACTCATAAAATTTCTAAGCATGCAATCCTACTCTTCCCCCATGTTTGATTTATTTCTATAAATAATAATTTAGGGTGAAAAATGCATTTTCCCAGATAATTTTCCATAAATAATGCCTTCAGAAATTCAAGAGGAAATGAATACTTCTATGCCTGAGTTATCTTTATTCAACAAAAGTATATTTTAGAAAAACCAACACTCATATTCCCCTTTATAGTTTCCAAGATATTTGGAAGTAGATTTTCATTTATTCCTCATGACCACATTATCTGCTGGTTACCAGGTACACTGAGCAGACTGTTGGGTCTTAGGTTATAGTAACTGGCTTACGTGGGGACATGTTTTCTGTGGAGACTCAGCTCTGCCTGATTCTTGGGACACCCCCTGCTATCCCCAGCATCTGGCTCTTTGTATCCCAGCTTGCTCCCTGTTGTTTGTTCCTCGATGCTTTCTGGTCTGGCCTGCGATTTTCTCTAGATGCCTTTTATACCAAGTATATCATTTCCCTGTAGATGTCCTTGCTCTTGGTTTTTCCCAAACTTGGAGGTTGTGCTACTCCCCTGCAGCCTATTTAAGCCTGGCCCAGCCAACATGAAACTCCCTGCTCCTCTAACTCCTAAAGCTCTTGCCTCTGATCTCATGTCAGGTGTGTGCTATAGGATTAGGTCACTGGGAATTGGTATCCTCATCCAGCCTGTAAGCTCCTTAAGGCCTGGACCATGTCTTTCACTGTTATATTGTCCACAGTCCTTTCTGCAGTGCTAAATGCATAATAGTTAACATTCAAAAATATTAGGTGTTGACCAGGCACAATGACTCAAGCTCGTAATCCTAAAACTATAGGAGGCCAAGGCAGGAGGATCAGTTGATCCAGGAATTGGAGACCAGCCTGGGCAGCATAGTGAGACCCCATCTCTACAAAAAGCACAAAGATTAGCTGGATGTGGTGGTGCACACCTGTAGTCCCAGCTACTCAGGAGGCTGAGGTGGGAGGATCAGTTCAGCCCAGGAATTTCAGGCGTCAGTGAACTATGATCGAGCCACTGCACTCCAGCCTGGATGACAGAGTAAGGCCCTGTCTCTTAAAAAAATTAATAAAAAAATTTGATGTTGGTTTTTTGTACCACTGGACACATGTGGAATCACAGACGGAATACAAATAAGACCTTGCATTTAGAACATTTTTGTTTTCAAATCAGGTCCATGTTTATTATTTCATATGCTTCTCATAATAACCTTGGGATATAGGGGAATGTAACCTTCACTCCATATACATGTCCCTAAGATACAGAAAGGGTACCTATTGCCCAGGGGCCACAGTGCCACAGCAGAGAATCCAAGAGGCCCCTGCTGCCGTGCAGGGATCTTCAGAACTCAGTGATAACGTGTCCTCGTTCCTTTACGAACAGGAAGTGCCAGAGTCCTTCACCTGTGTTCCACACAGCCATTTCCCTGAGTGTCTCAAATATCGCACAAACCCTAAGCTAGCCCATGAAAGATTTGCAGGAACAATTTAATCTCTTCAAGGTGAATTTCAAAAACAGAGACTTTATCAAGAAACCCAGAAAGATTTTCTCTGTGTCTCCAAAGTAGAAGGAAAATGATCTAGATACCTAAAATTGAAATTCCCAATAAACAACAGTTACTTTTTCCAACTAGAAACCAATTATATTTTTTGATTTAAAAAGTGTAAGGGCCACATGTGGTGGCTCATGCCTGTAACCCCAGCACTTGGGGAGGCTGAGTCTGGAGGATTGCTTGAGCCCAGGAGTTGGAGACCAGCCTAGGCAACAGAGTGAGATCCCATCTCTATAAAAAATTTTTGAAATTAACCAAGTGTGGTGATACACGCCTGTAGTCCCAACTATTTGGGAGGCTGAAGTGGGAGGATTACTTCGGCTTGGGAGGTTGAGGCTGCAATGAACTGTAATTATACCACTGCCCTCTAGTCTGGCTGGGCAACACAGCAAGATATGTAGGCTAATTAGCCCACTCCAGGCCCACTCAGCCTCCTGGCGACGTTTCTCCAGGGTGTCGGGTTTCCTCTACAGTGCTTCTGTCTTGAAGGGTCCGACTGCTTGAGGATGGACATTGCCATCCGCCAGGGCTCGGGCTGAGAGCAGTTCTTTACACGCAGTGATGTCTGAGGATGGAAATTCACACATCTGGCTTGCAAAAAAGCCACAGCCAGGGAGAGCTTAGGATCCCGATCTGGGAGGAATCCTTGGTGTAATAGAAGCTTTGGGAGCAACATGAGGCTCCTTGAAGGCCAGGAAGGCAGCTTCACAGCCCTCTGCCTTGAACAGGTGATTCTTTTCCTCATTTTTCTCCCCTGTCTCATCCGATTCGGCAAGTGCAGGGAAACGGAACAGGGGACACTCAGAAACTGTTCCAAGTCACAGATTCAGCAAGCATCTCGCTTTAAACTGATCCTCCAGTAACAGGAGAAAGAGAAGAAGGAAGCACAAGGTCAGAAGCTAATAAACAGAGTCTTGCTGGAGAACAGGAGAGAGAAGAGAGGCAAAGAATCTGTTTCCTTACACGAGGCTGCAGTTTGCACAATTTCTACCACTGGTAGAATTTGTTACATCTACCTCGCTGATGTAACCCAAAAGAAACGCTGTGTTTTGAACAGAGACATTGTTTCACTCACCTTATTGGTTAGGCTCTGTTCATAACAATAATCTACATTCTTTGTAGGGTAGAAAATATTTTTCAAAACTCTAAAAATAAAAGAAAATAGGCTAGGCACGGTGGCTCACACCTGTAATCCCAGCACTTTGGGAGGCCGAGGTGGGCGGATCACGAGGTCAAGAGATAGAGACCATCCTGGCCAGCATAGTGAAACCCCGTCTCTACTAAAAATACAAAAATTAGCCAGGCGCGGTGGCGGATGCCTGTAATCCTAGCTACTCAGGAGGCTGAGGCCGGAGAATCGCTTGAACCCAGGAGGTGGAGGCAGCGAGCTGAGATTGCACCACTGCACTCCAGCCTGGGCAACAAGAGCAAAACTCCGTCTCTTAGAAAAAAGAAAAAGGGCCGGGTGCGGTGGCTCAAGCCTGTAATCCCAGCACTTTGGGAGGCCGAGGCTGGCAGATCACG